GTACTTTTTAACTTCTGTTTAACTAGCCCCCTCATTTTTGCATAGTTCCCCCTTTTGAAATTAAATGCCACAGTATTGGGCTGTTGAGATGTTCTTCCCACCACAGGGATGTTGAATGCTGTTGTATTATGGTCACTATTTCCAAGCGGTCCTGTTATGGTTACCTCTTGGACCAGCTCCTGGGCTCCACTCAGGACTAAATCTAGAGTTGCCTCTCCCCTTGTGGGTTCCCGTCCCAGCTGCTCCATGAAGCAGTCATTTAAAGTATCGAGAAATTTCATCTCTGCATTTTGTCCTGGGGTGACATGTTCCCAGTCAATATGGGGATAATTGAAATCCCCCACTATTATTGAGTTCTTAATTTTGATAGCCTTTCTAATTTCCCTTAGCATTTCATCATCACTATCACTGTCCTGGTCAGGTGGTCTATAATAGATCCCTAATGTTATATTCTTATTAGAGCATGAAATTTCTATCCATAGAGATTCTATGGAATATGTGGATTCACTTAAGATTTTTACTTCATTTGATTCTACATTTTCTTTCATATATAGTGCCAAGTCTCCTCCCCCCCACGACCTGTTCTGTCCTTCCAATATATTTAGTACCCCGGAATGATTGTGTCCCATTGATTGCTCTCAGTCCACCAGGTTTCTGTGATGCCTATTATATCAATATCCTCCTTTATCACGAGGCACTCTAGTTCACCCATCTTATTATTATTTAGACTTCTAGCATTTGTGTACAAGCACTTTAAAAACTTGTCACTGTTTATTTGTCTGCCCTTGTCTGCCCTTTTCTGATGTGTCAGATTCTTTTTTATGTGAATGTTTATCATCTGATCTGGCCCTTACATTATCCTCTTCCATCCTCTGCTCATGACTAGAACCTGGAGATTCTCTATCATTAGACTCTCCCCTAAGAGAAGTCTCTGTCCGATCCACATGCTCCTCTGCAGCAGTTGGCTTTCCCCCATAAAGATATACCTATCTCATAGAACTGGAAGAGACCCTGAAAGGTCATTGAGTCCAGCCCCCTGCCTTCACTAGCAGGACCAAGAACTGATTTTGCCCCAGATCCCTAAGTGGCCCCCTCAAGGATTGAACTCACAACCCTGCGTTTAGCAGGCCAATGCTCAAACCACTGAGCTATCCCTCCCCCGCAAACAAATGCATCACTGCCTGGGGGATTTTCCTCCTCCGCAGCCTACATTGTTCCCCTTTCCCTAGCTATGGCCTGGCCCCTTGTTTCTCTTCCGATAATTCCTCTGTGGCATGCACACCCTGCAGATATTTGGGAACGTGTACATCTCCCTGTGTCTATCACTTCACCATTCATTTTCCCACTAGAAAAACAATGCTCGCAGCCCTGCTGGTTGCCATCACAGTATCCCGGTGGGGCAGCTTCCTGTTATTGTTAAGTATTTTGCAGGCTCTTCACATTTGTTTAGTGGCGGTTTTGTTTTTGTAGCGGTCAGAATCTCTTCTCTGGCACAGACTGGAGGTTTCCTTTTACCTCCTTCGTCTCCTGGGACCTCACAAGCGTTCTCCAGGCCGTGCTCTGTGGCCCTGGTCACTGTTGTCTCCGCGTGCCTATAGCTATACTGGACACATCTCAAGTTGCTTGTGCAGGGGCCTGACTTGATGAAGCACAGTAGTATACCCTGAAAGTGGTGTTCTCAGAACCACGCCCCTGTCCACACTGGCCATGGCACGCAGCGATAGTGTTTCATCTGCAACAGTCCTCTTTGCAAGTCTCTTCCTTCATCCCTCCCTTGCTTTTTCTCTCCTCCCCCCACCATAGCTCTGACATTTGGGTGCCTTGAGGTTAAGCACCTATAGATTGGCTAAGTAATGGTTAAGGAAAGTGGGGAGGTCATAAGTCTGCATTTGCATGTAAGCCCCAGTGAAGTTTACTTACCAGGCTAAATAACAAAGAGGATGTCCTCTTGTGTTGCCCCAACCCCCCTCCTGTCCTCAAACAAAACCCTCTCACCTGTATTGACTGGTGCTTTCAACCCAAGCCAGCTGGCTTCTCTGACTGTAGCCTAAAAACAGAGTGTGGGACTTTCACTTGGACTTGGTAACCTTAGTCCTGGAACCCCAAGAGGAGAGGCAGTTCTTCATTTCGTTCTAAGTGGAGCACAGGATCTGGTCCAAGAGGTGAATATAATGGAATTGCTCAGTAATAGTGATCATAATATAATTAAATATTGTAGGGGGGCAAAATACCCAAGAAACCCACCACAGTATTGTTTAACTTCAGAAAGGGGAACGACACAACAATCAGGAAGCTAGTTAAATGGAAATAAAAAGGAACAGTCACAAGAATGCAGGGCCTTCACGCTGCATGGAAACTTTTTAAAAACACCATAAAGAGGCTCAAATTAAATGCATACCCCAATTAAAAAAAAAAAAAAAAAGTAAGAGGACCACACACAAAAAATGACACCTTGAAAAAATAACTCACTTGATATTGCCCAGTTCTGTTCATTGTCTCTGAAGTGTCTGTCTTTGGCCCCTGACAGAAGAGAGGATATTGGGCTAGATGGACCATTGGTCTGACCTAGTATGGCTGTTTTTATGTTCTTTTAACCTGCCCACTTTGTGGTGAGGATGCAGGATAAATCGCTGCTGATAGTCCTCTAGTGCCTTCCCACAATCCCTCCTCCCCTCCACCCCCCTCTGTGCCCAGAAGGACAGAAAAATTCTCCCATAATTCACCAGGAAGAAATCCTAGAGCAGCTCCGCTTCCTGCAGCACAGAGAACCATGGGATATGCTCTTAGAAGTCCTAGTGACACATGCAGGGGAATGCATTTCCAGTTACAACACAGTATTTTAGCTATGGCTTTGCAGTGTGGTGGTCACGCCTGGGCTAAGTTAACCTGGGTGCTCAGCACCTGAGTTAACTCTGCAGTGAAGACACACCCTAGAGAGTAATAGGAGGAAATTAAGAGGGGGTAAAATGGGCTAAACATCAGAGAGATCGTCACGCCAGTGAGTGCTGCTAGGTTGTGGCTCAGGGTCCCTGGGGAAGTGGCGGAAGCCCTATCATTTGGCACATTTAAAACTGAATTGGACAGAACACTAATACGTTACAATCGGGAGCCATCCTGCACGGGCCCCTGGGTATGCACTAGATAACCTAATAGGTGTTTTCCATCTCTAGATTCTGGTCTTCTCTCCAGCTTGTCAGGGCCAGGAAGCTTCCTCCCACTCTGCTGCCTCTCTGAGCATGTGGAAATCCAACATTTCCCCTGAATTCAGCAATAATGCACAAGAGATGTCGGGCTGGCCCCGCATTTCCAAGGGGTCCAGAGATCTCTGTGGTTTGGGGAAGCTAGCATATTGAGTGATTGCAGTAGCATGTTTTCTCTGTCTTGCTGAAGCCTCATTTTCAGCCCTAATGCAACAACAGCGAGGGCTTTGTGCATCATTTGTATTATGTGGCAGAACTCCGGGAAGTTCATTTTTTTTTTCTCCATGACACACAGACTTCTGCTACAGTCTCAATTTATCCTTCTAAATAATGTAGGTGGCGGTGGTTGATTCACATCACTTTCTCTTCTCTTCTAATGATATGAAAACCTGAGTTTGACCTCCTCTGCCTGAACTGAGAAGAAGGGAGCTGGCAATTTCTGCAGCTATTCACAGTGCTGCTCTCCACAGTTATTCTGAACCGTGGCGGATGGAAGTGGGTTCAAATTCTTACAAGCAAAGGGGTTAATGTTTTCTTCTAGTTCAAGTATGTGGTTTGTGAGCAGAGTTCCCCTCCGACAAGCTGCTGGAGCCAGAAAAATCTGAGCACTTGGGGGTGCGTTAAAAATGAATTCCTTGTTGCCGTGGGAAAGCAGGCAGAGTCGTGTCTGGGCATTTGGCCTTAACAGTGGCGGGTTACTTTTTATTCTTGTCACCGGGTGTATTCTGGGTCTGTATCATTTTCTCACCTCTTTCCATCTAGGCCCCACCTGCAGCCCAGTTAGCAGAGTTTAGGTTCAGCCAATTTAGGTCCCATCCATATAAGGTGGAGAGCAGACTTGGAAATGTTAAATGTCATTCCAGCCAAACTGGTGCTGAACATGGGTGGGACAGCCAGTGTGGATGGGGGTTGACCACAGTTCACCTGAGAGGGTTGGAAATTACGTGTAAAATGTTCAGGCGCAGGGTAGACATAGCCTTGGTCTCGTGTGGTTAGCACGACTCTCGCTATGTTCTGGGGGCTGTTGTTATCATTTGTACCCTCGGTGCGCCTGGCACGCTAGACATGCAACGAGATCACTTCTGTGCCCAGAGACGCTTACAGCCTGAGTGAAATATTCCCAGGGCGGGAAGAGTGGGAACAAAGGGCAAAGGGAACTCTGTGATGTCCTTTGTTCTGCAGATTGTTTGCTTTTGCTATTTGATTCTGTCTGTAATCAGGTGAGAGTGAGGAAAGGACTGGCCTGGAGCGAGCTGGTTAAAGGCAAGTCTAAAGATTTGGTGGAGAAGAGGGAGGATGAGCCGGCAGAGCAGGCGGCAAAGCCCTGGTTCTGTTCAGCAGAGGCCATGACTGTGGAGGAGTAAGAAGCAAACAGCAGTGGTTAGGGTACTTTTTGTTCAGCTGCTTTGATTAGAAAAATCTAATTTGAAAGTCTGTTAAAGGTCTTTTCATTAGACAGGAATCCTTTCCATCCAATGCTGTAATTAACATGGAGCTGTGTGTGTTTCCTTTATTTAAGCAGTGCATTTAAGTACCTGTGTCCATTGGAAAGGCATCAATAACTGGTTTTCCCATGCAATTAAAAAAAACTCACCCTCGCCAGCCTTTGACAAGAGCATGGACACCCTGGGGCTGCAGCTAGGTACCACTGAGAGTCTGGGGGCCGCAGTTTGTGGTACACTTACCCAGGAAAGCTACTTTTCAAGTAGGGCCTGTGTTTCTCGTGTGGTGAAACTGTTCAGTTGTCATGTCTGGACTTGCCATAACCTGGGTTGTCTATGTCTTCTTGTTTGTGCACAGGGGCTCTGCAAGTAGAGAACAGTGAGGAGTCAGACCAAGGCAAATATGAATGTGTTGCAACCAACAGTGCAGGAACCCGCTACTCTGCTCCGGCTAACCTTTACGTTCGAGGTAAGAGCAGCTCTCTCTCCAAGAGTCACTCTCTCCCTGTTTAATGAACTGTGTGGCTTTGCAATGAACGAGGATGTGGTCCTGTCTTTGTGCATCGATAACACTTTGTGGATTGTGTGACTTGAGTAGCCATTTGCTCAAGATTTGACAAATTAAATCCAAACGCACGTTTGAATAACATCAGCCTTGACTCAAATTAGCAAGACCTGGAAATCCATCTTCACCAAGCTTGTGTGATGCCTCTGTTGTCAAAAGCGCTAAGCTAAGGCCAGAATTTTAATTCCTTTGAATTTCCTCACCTTGTGGCACAATTACTTAAGGGGAGGAGGGGTGTTTCAATCTCTCTTGTATAAAGACAAATCTTCAGTGGAGAAGTCTAAAATAAAGTCCCATTCACCTGCTAAGCCAAGGCTTGTCAATTGTGGATGAGCAGGTCTTTAGCCACTTGCTTTGGAATGTTTAGCCATAAAAACTAGAGAACAGAACAGCTTTTTGAAGTTTTCTCAGTCAATCTTGTATCTGCATTGAAGATAGATCCTATGGGTATTAAAGATACACACTAAGAACCCTTCTGAAAATTAGCTGCTGTTCATGCGAAGAAACCACTTTCTAATGGTTATTGTCTTGCCTTTTTAAAACTCTTGTTTTCAGAATACAAAAATGACCAGACTTTATGGCTGATTGACCTCTGGCCTAACTTATTTTTCTAAATTAAATAAATCTGAATTACAAGTTTGGAAGGGTGGGGGCGGTCTTTAAATAGTTGATTAACTGTTCTGTTCATCAAGAAAAAAAAGTGCTTCCCTGGTTGGGATCTGGTATAGCCAGAGCAACCAGGTCAGAAACCCTTGAAAACTGGTTTGGGATTTGCCCAAGGGGTGTGATGCTACCTAAAGCTTTTTAGGAAGGTGTTTAGAACCCAACTTTATTTCCACATAGTAACTCAAGACACTGACAACTGTTGGTAAATAAAATCTCATCTTCATTTCTTCCTCTCTCTCTCCCCTTTGAGAACAACCCCCAAAGCCACCCTTGGAAGCTACAAATGCTTTGGTCAGTGTGAAGAGAGGAGAGGATGACAATAAAACGTCACATGTTGTGCGTTTGCTTCTAGGTGCCGCTTCGTGCCTTGTGCTCTTTTTGTTTGCTTCTAGGTGCTGCTTCTTGCACTGGGTTCTTTGCTTATTTGCTGGGGTGGGTGGGGGGGGAGCTCATTTTGCAGCATCATTTGGATTGTAAGAATCTTTGGCAAACTAAAGTATCAGATTAAACATGCTCAGAAGATTAAGCTTTCTCTGTGCAGTGGAACCACTCATTTGACTCTCTCAGTATAATTATGGATGATTTTAAACTCCCTGTATTCTTGTAAATTCATTTTTCAGGCCAGCTATAGTAAAATTCATCCCCAGGTTGTCACTTCACACCCTGAGGGAGAGAGTGTTCATTTGAATGTATCACACTGGATGTTGTTGCACTGACTCTGGGGGTATTTAGCCTTCGTGCCACAATAGCTGAATGTTTTCCTTCCTGTACATAGGATCAGTCTATGAAACATACCCCGTCTGTCATAGAAATGCTATGGAAAATACTGCTAGGAGGCCAGTATTTCAGCTGAATGCAGCAGCTTCTAGGGATGGAGAAACCTCATCTTCAATCTTGCTGGTTTCCCATTCATGGATGTTCATTCTTTATTTACCAAGAGAATCCCTTAAGACTGTAAGAAATACAGTAAGCAACAGCACTTGGCTTGCCGCACACAAGGGGTTGCCTGGTCTGCATGGGCTTGGGGATGAGAATGGGTTTACACATGGGTGAGAGGATCCAGATGCTCCATGAAGAGAATGCTCCAGACCTGTGCTCAGTTCATTTTCTGTTTACCAGTGCTTTCCTTTTGTGTACATCTTGGACCAAGCCTCCTTTTATTGCACATCATCTTTACAATGCAAGTCTCCAGCCTGCATGATCCTGATAAAGCCCTGCAGTATATAGAAGACAGGTTACTCCATAAATCGTCTCCAGATGAAATTCCCCATATGTCCTGATTCCCAGATAATATTTATTGCTGAAGTATCTGATATCTAGTGTTTTACAAAACAAAATGTTCATCATTAATTCGCCAGTTAATGGCTTCAACAAGTCAGCCAAACCAAGAACCATAGCTTATACCTTTATCAAACTGAAAAAAAATGGTTCCCTTGTCTTTCATGTCTGCATTGCAGAATAAAAAGAATCCCTTGTTCCTGCCCATGTGGTTATTATGCTGTACGGTGGTTAGTTAGAAGAATTGGTAACTTTCCATGGGGTCCTTGGAAAGTGCCTACATATTTGCTAGAGAAGACATTAATTAATGCTAAATTACAGTGGAATTAAGTGTTCTAGCTACACCACCACCACATCATGGTTTCATAATGATTGACCTTATTACGATGAATACCCAAGGAATTAGCTACTTACTGGAAAGTGACTGAGTATTGCTTCTACTGTAGCTTTGTGAGCAGAGGTATTAATTTCCATCCAGTGGTAATTCTCAGGAGTGCTTGTGCCTGCTTTCATTTATAGCCTGTTGTTTTTTTAATAGTTCAAATGTTTGTTTGTCACTTGGCTCCTGGGGTTTCTAGTTTTTGATCATTTCCTCCCCTTTCCCAGCCCCCCAGGAAACGCTTTGTGGGAACCCTGGGTTACAAAGCACAGGCTCATTAGCATCTTTATTAATCCCGACCCTCACACTAACAGAGGAAGTTCCTGGGTGCTGAGAGTGAGTATCCAGGCGCTGCTCAGGGCTTCCCATATCACTAAAAGAAGGAGGAGGATGGAGCTGGCTACTCCGCAGTGTCTTGCCTCTGTGAATCCGTCAGAGCCAGCACTTCAGCACAGATGGACTTCATTAAAAGTTAAAACATTTCCACACAAGGGATTTGTAAAGGAAAGTGGATGCGTTTTCCTTCAAGCTGTTATTTTCATTGTAATAAGTGTGCTGAAAAGCAGCCCTCAAAAATGTTCTGCTTCTAAGCTGACAGGTCTGTCTGTCTGTAAAGCGAGCGCTCGGACCACGCCACACAGCACAGTCCTGCCCTGTGTGACTGACAGAGCACTTCACGCTGAATGGCTGGCTTCAGCCCAGAATGGTTGGCAGGAGATGTTTTGCACTCTCTGGAGAAGCAAAAGCATTGAAGACCATGCCAAAGAGAGGGGGCTTGCAGGTCAGAGAGAGAGAATGTATAGTGCTTTCAATGGGGTACAGCCTCACCTGGCCATTTTAGAACCGCAATTCCTTCTGTCCAGCTGCACTTTGACACTCTGCTTCGACCCCTTGCCTAGTCTGTCAGAACAGATCGGGAGTCCAATGACTGTGGTTTGTGTGCTGTTATTACGCCCCGGAGTCCTCTTCAGGGTCAGGGCACCCCATGGTGCTGAGAACTGGGCAAACACATACGAAGTCATGTTTCTTACAGTCTAATTTTAGACAAGACACAATACGTGAATGTAACCGCAGGAGCGAAGACGGGCATAACAGTAGTAGGACCATGTTATTACATCGCTGTGTTGTGTGCCCAGCATAATGGTGCCAATTCCCAGAAGAAATCAATTTCTTCCATCCTCCACTTGGCCTCTGGTTGCCTTCAGCCGCCCACAGAGGCTTGTGAGTCAGCAACGGGTTTTGCACTGCCATGCCACCAGGCTCCCTGTGGCTCTCATAGCTGGGAGGCACAGGCTAAACAACTGACTCTGGCCTCAGCCTTGGTCTGTCCTGCAGATGGGATCGGCCTCAGCCTAATGTATACTAAGCCGCTGGACGGGGAGGCTGCATGGTATAATGTCTTCTTAGAGCGCGACAGTATTCTCTAGACTGGGCCCCATGCTGCTGCTTGCGGGAGTGTAGCTGTAGGGTACCCTCAGGTTTGATTAGGAGATTCCATATTCAGACACGTGTCCGGGGTAAAACAAAAATAGCCATTGTCCAGCAAATGGCCTTTGTTACAGATGCCACTTTTTGGACCTTCAAGGCATGGCTAGAGCAAGTCGTTGGTGTCTGGGTAGGTGAGGCAGACACAGAAAATTCTCCATTCCAAAGGGTCTGACACATACTGTACATTACAGAGTAGGAACCTGCAAAACTGGTTTTCAGAAAGACAGCTGTAAATGAGGGCCCTGCCACAGAATTATACGTCCGTAAATTAAACAAGAGCAGTCAGTATAAATGGTATTATTCTGATGCCTGTATATTTTCCTGCTTTGTCTCTTAAAAGGCCGGGCTTGTATTTAATTTGGAGGGGGTAGAATTTGCTTGATCTTATCTGCCGAGTTTCACCCTGGAACCAAATTAAACCAAAATAAAATTAGGATTGCAAGTCGCTCTGGTCCTGGCAATAGCAATCCGATGAGAGCGCAGCTAGCATTTCCGGGCGCATGGCGGCGGGCTCCAGAGCTCTCCCTGGAGCCAAGTCACCTAACCAACCAAATTGGCTGCCTGACTGAGACTATGATTTGTGTGTCTGTAAAGTGCTGAGCACATTGTGGGCGCTGTGCACATCACAATAATGATGCTGAATGACGAAGGTCAGCCTGGAGCAATGGCAGCAGGATTTGAAATATTTCAAAAGGAAATGTTTTGCTTATCTAAAATTAAAACCAGCTAAAGTAGCAACAACAATCAAAGCTGAGGGCATTGCCGATGGGACAGTCAAAGCTGAGGGCATTGATCAAATGATGAGTGATCAAAGCAGAGGGTTCTTGAGAAAGGGTGATAGATAATAGGAAAACTGTTCTGCTACGAAATACTACACCCACGCCTCCAGCACGTGCTCCGTGTCGGTGCCTCTCATTAGTGCTGATCTGGTGGAGCTGTACAAATCCAGAGAAGGGCCCAAAGAGATGTTGCAAAGGCCAGGCCTGGTTAGCGTGGCCAGGAGAGAATGTATTACTCACAGGAATCTGGGAATTGCCATATTGGATCTGACCCGTGGTCTGTCCAGTTTGGCCTCCGGTCTGTGGCAGTGGCC